CTCAGAAGCATCAAATGTCACACATAGGTGCAAATAACCACATAGTAACTGTAAAGTTATTCTCCAAAAATCAAGCACATCCCCAAACAAGATGCCCAAAGCCACACTAGCTTATAAAATGGATTGGCAGCAAAACGCTCATCTTGAAATTCGTAACATGAGCCCCACTTGGTTGCTTGTGTTGTTACTTTTCCTTTAAGAGGTTGTAAGCCCATTTTTCAAACAAGTTCAAAAGATTCGACTCAGGCATTACCCTCTCAGGCCATCTGGTTGTGCTGTCGTCAGAGGAAAACGGTGGCCTGCCAAGGAGTGTAGACACCTGGGCAGGTCCACTGAGGAAGCAACCTGCTCTGGGTCAGATGCTTTTCCTCTTCTGTATTAGAGCTTCCTTCACAATTACAGTTTAAGGCTGGCATTTGTCGTACTCTGTTTGCAAATTCTCTATCCCAGAATTTGATGTAAATGAGACAGGAGTCTTGGTGCCATTAGGACTGCACACATATTTTTAACTCAATTCAGAAAACTTTATTCTAACCAGGTTTAATCTTGTCACCTCTTCGACATCAGCTTAGAAGATGTGTGCCAGGCCACAGCCTTCTGACTGAAGTGTCTATAGTTTCTTGTACATTCCTCGGGTTGATACTTTTTCTGATACATCCCCTCAAGCAAGGGAAACAAAAGAAAAAATAAATAAAGGGAACTACATCAAACTAAAAAGTTTCTGGACAGCACAGGAACTATCAACAAAATAAAAAGACAATCCACTGAATGGGAGAACATGTTCGCCAATGATATATCTGATAAGGGGTTAATATAAAAAATTTATAAAGAATTCAAATGACTCAACACCAAGAAAATAAACAATCCAATTAATAAATGGGCAAAGAACCTGAATAAACAGTTTTCCAAAGAGGACATACAGGTGGCCAATAGACATATGAAAAGGTGCGCAATGTCACTAATCATCAGAGAAATGAAAATTAAAACCACAGTGAGATACCATCTTAACCTGTCAGAATGGCTATTATCAATAAATCAACAACAAGTGCTGGCGAGGATGTGGAGAAGAGGGACTGTTACATTATTGGTGGGAATGCTAGACCGGTGCAGTCACTGTGGAAAACAGTGTAGCAATACCTCAAAAAACTAAAAATGGAGCTGCCTTATGACCCAGCAGTTCCACTTCGGCTATATCCAAAGAAACCTGAAACATAAGAATATATGCACCCCTTTGTTCACTGCAGCGTTATTTACAAGAGCCAAGATTTAGAAGCAGCCCGAGTGCCCATCAGTAGATGAGCGGATAAAAAAGCTGGGATACATTTACACAATAGAATAAAAAAGAAGGAAATCTTACCTTTGGTAGCAGCCTGGTTGGACCTGGAGGGTATTATGCTAAGTGAAATAAGCCAGTCAGAGGAAGACAAATACCATATGATTTCACTTATACGTGGAATCCAATAAAAAGTAAACAAAATAGAAACAGACTCACAAATACAGAGGACAGACTGACAGCTGTCAGAGGGGAGGGGCATTGGGGGGCTGTGTGAAATTGGTGAAGGGATTAAGTAAAAAAAAAAACAAAAAAACTCAGACAGACAACAGTGTGGTGGTTCCCAGAGGCAAAGGGAGGTGGGGGCAGGTAGAAGGGGATAAACAGGGGGTAAGTGGTGACAGAGGAGGTTGACTTTAGATAGTGAACACACAATACACACAGATGATGTGTTGTAGAATCGTACCCCTGAAACCTACATAATTGTATTAACCAGTGTAACCCCAATAAACTCAATTACAAAAGAAAATCTTTGTCTACACTATAAAATAAAATGAAATAAAATAAAACGTCTATGGTTAGCACCAGGTAGAAGTAGAACTGTATTTGTTAAACACATGAGTAAATGAAGGAATGAATAACTTAGGTTCTGCCAACATTCTAGGTTGTAAAAGTGAAGTCTTGGGAACCAGCCAGATTAGGGTATGGACCCTAGTTCTGATGCTTGCTACATGCTTTTCTTCAGGCCTCTGTGGGTTCTCCACAGTGAAAAGGAGGGCAGCCCAGGGAAATGTCTGTATTAGTTTCCTATTGCTGCTATAACAAATTACCACAAGCTGAGTGGCTCAAAAATTAATGCCTCTCACACACCGATTTATTATATTGCAGTTCCGGAGATGAGAAGTCCAAAATGGGTCTCACTAGGCTAAAAACCAAGTGTTAGCAGGGCGTTGTTTCTTCTGGAAGCTCCAGGGGAAGAATCCGTTTCCTTGTCTCTTCCAGCATCTGAAGTTCACCCTCATTCCTTGGCTCCTGCTGATTCTTCTGCCTTCAAAGCCAGCAGCATCTTTAAATCTGTTTCTGACCCTCCCCCCACTTCCATCTCTAAGGACCTTTGTGATTAATTACATCGGGCTCATCTGGATAATCCAAAATAATCTCTCCATCTCCAGGTCCTCACTTTAGTCTGCAAATTCCTTTGCTGTGTCAGTATCCTGCTCACAGGTGCCAGGGATCAGGACATGAGTGTCTGTAAGGGGAAGGGGCTTATTGTCCTGCCTGCCACAGCGACCACGCAGCCAGAAGCTGCACTTAACAAATTTGTCCAACAGGGATGGGAAGCATCATCCCTGTCCCTCACCAGGGTAACACAGATAACACATTAAAAATGGTCCCAGGGAGCCCCCGCCACCACCAGAGCAGTGAGTGCTTGTCTTCTTGGAAGGAATCTAAGGCTGCCTGCAGGTGACTCGCTGGTCATTCCACTGTGGGGCGGTGCAATGGTCTGGGTTCCCCTTAGGTCTTCTTACATTTTGTAGGACAGGGTCAGCTCCACCATGGCTTGCTTAAGTGTTCATATACACAGATGTGCACTTGGCCAGAAGTCTTTCCCCTAATGGTAACTTGGAACTCAGTGCTTCATACCATCTATCGAATCCTGGGTGGGAGAGACACTATTCAAGGAGACCCTCTCACCTGAGAGATGGGCAGTCCAACCACACCTTTAAACTGGCCACAGATTAAACCAGACTACCTCCTTTTGGCACCAGGATATTTGCTTTTACTATATTTCCTTTACTTTGGTGCTATCAGACAATCCTAGAGATAGACCTAAAGAAAAAGCATCAAGGAAATAATGTGTTTACTGTAACAGTTTTGTGAGGATGTTCGCTATATTTCAGCATACATTTCTTATGAAAAATGTTCCCCAGGTCTCAAAACCCACTGCTGGCTAAACTTCTCTGTAGTAACTGGTTTATTTCCATCGAGTGAACACAAGCTCACACAGCTGGCCGTTTCTCCCTGTTCGTGCACAGTATGAGGAAGCTGAGCACCCAGGCCACTGTCCGTCTTGAGCGAAGCTGTAGGACACCACGGCCTGCATTGTAGGTGCCAGCTCATCCTCCTCCCCGCCTTGTCCCCTCCCCCCAGTTCCTTCACCTGTTTCACATTGTAGTTCTTACTGCTGTAACGTATGTAAGGCCAGGAAAAGGCATTGTAAAAACTTGTACCTCCAGAGGTTTTTTTTTTTTTTTCTTTTGGGAAGATACATGCTCCTGACACATTCCTCTTTGTTCCAGAAACAAACTCAAATGAGAAATAAAAAACATGAAACGTTATCAGTGCCAGTGTCTAAACAATGACTCTCAGCAGAACTGGGTCGGCACCATTGTGAAGACTGGCGCTCGTGTTGACAGCACAGGAACGAGTCTCTAACGCTTTGTATGCTGAGCACACGGAGACCATAAACGTCAGAATTCTAAATGGCTTGCTGGCTGTTAGCACATTAACTGGCACTAAAATCTATTTCCTTTCCAAGGGATGTTTAGCTTTTATTATATCTTTACTCATGGTCAAAAGACATTAGCAAATTTGCTAAAGTGATTGAAGATATTCCTCTTAAGGCATTCCTAAAGTTTTATCTCTTTGCCTTCCTGGGTTGTTTTTTTATTTTATTTTTTGTATGTGACCTTGTTTTCTCAGAAAGGAAAAACAGAAATGTGCTATATACTATGCAGGGTTTTGATCATTGTAAAAAGCCAGTATTTTAAGAAAATCAATGGTAGCGTGCCCTCCAGGGAAAATATCTTTGAGGTAGACCCAAGCGTAAGCGTCAGTTTCTGAGTCATCCAAACACAGGCTCACCAGCACTGAGGACCTCTCAAACCCCGTAAGATGGTACATCTGGGCCTTCTCTTATTCGTCTCTAACCCGAGACTCTAGAACATAGTACGTGTTCAACAAATAACCGTTGAGTTAGTGAGTAGGTCCTCTCACTCTCAGAAAGACCGGGTTCCTCCCCACCCACAGTAGGTCATGACGGGAACATAGTGCCTACCACACGGCAGATGTGCCCTGTGCACTCCCGAGTGACTGCCACTGAGACCCATCCACACTGTGGGGGAATCTTCTGCCATCCCTGAATTCCAGAGCAGCAGTGTTTTGTTCCAATGCCTCCCCTCCTTGTCAGAGACACACCTGACGGATGACATTCACGCGTGCAACTACCCTCATGGGGGCACTTATGTGCACGTGACAGTCCCACTATGCCGGTGTGGTCACAGTCTCCTTCTCTCCCACTCAAGAAAACACATCAGAACACAAACGAATAAGGATGTCACTAATATGGGAACAATCTCAAATTCATGGCCATTTCTTGAAAAAGTAAATAATCATCCACATTTTTGGCATTTCAAATAGTAGTAGGACAGGACCATGAGGCACCTCACAATGAATGACAGAAGCAGCTCATTGTAATGCCATGACTGAGTGCTTCTTACAGAAGCTGTCTCCAAGACCCACTGAGTCCTCACATGCCACAAGGCTCACCCTGTTCACAGTGGAGTCATTTACATGACCTCCTCCATCCATGTGAGCTTCACCGGAATTAGAGAGAGCATCCCTACTAATGGAAATAGCTCACACAGGAATTTCATTGCCACTTGACTGTCATTCCACCGTCACCTTCATGACCTTGAAGAACAGGACACACAAACAACCAACTTACCACGCCACCACCAGCCGAGTGCACGAGCACAGACATCCCTTCTCGAAGGTTGGCAACTTCAAAGAGCATCATGTAGGCTGTGACGAAGTTCATGGGGAACGCGGCAGCCTCAGAGAAGCTCATGTCATCGGGGATCTTGTAGACAAACTCCACCGGCGTGCAGACCACCTCTGCCCAGGCATTATAATTGACAAATGCCATGACACGGTCCCCAATCTGGGCAAAGGGAAGCACAGGGTTAGTGGAGCTTTCTGAACTTTTTTCCGGGATTTCTCAAATACTCAATAATCTGGTGAAAAACATAGATTCCTTCCCAGAAAAAAAAAACCCTCAAATATGCACACCCTCACCTGCCTCTCAATTTCAAGGCATTGTTGGATGCTCTGAAGCCCATCTATAAAAAAAACCCCAGGGGCCGTGGAAACCAGATTCTGTACTCCTCGTCTGGCGCATGAGTACATGATGTGGAGCACATCACACACCGTGGAGCGCTGCTGTCAGAAGGTCATCGTCCTGACCGAAGCTCTCATCTAATCTCTCTGCTTTGGAGCTGAGAAAGACTGAGCCCTAAGGAAGGTTAATGGGGCGAGGCTGGTAGTAAAATCTACTGTTGTCTGCTCCCTGCCACCCCCATGGATGCCCTGACATGCTAGTTCACTGTCGTATTTGCAACGAAGATATCACTGTGGATATGAACACTCAAAATAGCCATGCAAATCTACATGCAGGAGACAAGAAGAATAACCAGGCTTGGTGCCAAATAGGAATATGCCAGTAGGGGTGAGAACAACTACCATTTACTGGGCATATATTATATGGCCAGCGTTGTGCTAAGAACACTGCATGTTTTAATTCATGGCTTCCGTACAAAACCCCTATCAAGGCATGGCAGAATACTGTGTTTTATTTATCAGTAGCTTACATAGCTAAACACCATGCAAAAAAATAAGAGCAGTCTTCCCTTTAAAGTGGATATGATGGTGTGCTACCTTTTTTCATAGCATGTCATTACTGAAGGGAAATACAAACAAGTGAACCAATACTGACAGCTTGTAGGAGCTGCAGAGTGCTGGTTAAATTGAGTCATGCTGCTATTAATGCTGGTGGCTTGTACTATGACTTTCAAGTGCAACATTCAAACTGTGTGGTTATAATAAATTCTCAATAAATTAATGGCTTTCACGTATAAATGTTTATATATATATGTATATATATATATACATACACATATATATATATGTTCATACTGATCCTGTTTTAATTCCTTTGTAGCTTAGCATTTCTCTTCTACCCTACTCAACAAACAAGAGAATCTTCCTATGAGATGGGTTCTGCAAGAATCCTGTATTACAGATGAATGATTGTAGGTCACACAGACATTTAAATTGATGCTAAGAGAGATTAAAGCATAGGCCCAAAGTCATGTAGCTAGAGAGCAGGTGGGCCAGGATTTGAAACTAGGCAAGCTGACTCCAAATGAAATAATTAATTCATTATACCTGAGATAAGTGCTACAAAGAAGACAGAGTTATATAAGGGTGTACAACAGGTGAACCTTCCAAGTCTGGGAATGTTTGACTCTTTAAGCCTCAGTTTTATCAGCTCTAAAATGGGTATAACATCAGGAAAAGGTCCTTACAAAGTGTGTGCAATGCATTTGGCAGTATGCATGTCAAATGAGAAAAGAGCAATCAATATAAACCCTGAAAACAGATTGGTTCCTGATCTCATGGAATTCACAGTTTCGTGCTCAAAAGGTAAATATAGACCCATTATACTTTATGAAGCAGAGAACAGCTGTCTCACAAAGAAGCTGATGGAATGGAGGAGCTGTCCCATTGACAATGAAGGTGTTATCTCCTGGAAGTGTTGAATGCCAAATGATAAGTGTCAGGAATGCCAGCTTAAATGCAACGGCTTGGACCAGAGGGTCACTGTGGACTAATCATGGAAACACAAAGGTACAGACTCACTTCCCTGGAGTAGTGGATGGTCTCCAGTGTCAACATAGGCTGTGGCAAAGAGTATCTTCACCACCCTGAGAGTGAGGGTCCCAGCCATTGCAGCAGGGCTGCCTGGCCCTCTCTCCCATCTCGTTATCAAAATGGCAAAAGTGGCTATGCCATCAGATCAGTCCTGGTCTCAGAGTCCAGGGGTAGGCAACTTCAAAAATATCCAATTCATTTTTTTTTATTTCATTAAGGAAAAAAAATCCTGGGCAACTGAGACCAAATTCTTCCTTGACTGCTGGGCCCCTGGCAACAACTTTTCAAGCCTCTCTAGCAATCAGTCAACCAAGAGACCTACCCAGTGTGCTGCTGCATGGAATTCCATCTCTAACCTAAGTGAAAATGTTAAGTCAAAATTATGGAGGGAATTATAGTAATGGTTTTCTCCCAAATCACACCCTGACTGGAAACCTGTAGGTGGTGCCTTTTATTTGTGCAGCTGAAAGTCTCTGGAGGGAAGTGGAGTAGAGACTAGGTTTGACAACATGGAAGCCAGAGCTAACTAGCAGAAGAAAGGTCATACATGAGGGAAAAAATACATAATCAAGCAGAGGATGTCCTCCCTCTAAATCAAAGCCAATGCCATCCCCACCTACTGTTATGTCCTAAAATAAAGGGTTATGTATCCAGTGTCTAGAATTAATAGTTAGTTAATAGTATGATCGTTTCCTCTGGGACCATATGAAGGAGTAAAGAGCAGACAGTATTTCTTCTATGCAGCACTTTCAGGGAGAGGTGGTACCACCTCGGGTTATATTGCTACCTGGGGGCAGAACGTGTAAAAAGTCATACAAAAGGGAAAAAAGCACATTTACTTCTTGCTCAACCTTTTCCTGCCCCATGATCTGAAAACACTGACAAGAAGACTGATGGGCAAGAAGAGATTCCCAGACATTCGTCATCATGAATTTGGAGCATATTGATATTTTCAGAGGATACCGGGGCTCAGATGCGTGGAGACTGAGCAGCATCTGAGCAGACTGAAACTCAGACCCCAGGGGTGTGTTAGCATCGCACTGCATGGGGTCTTTCTTCCTGCAGTTAGTATCGCAGCATCTGCAGGTTGGGAGCGAGGGCAGAGCTCACGGAATAGTCAGAAGGCCCTGCTGACTTGAATCTAGGTTCAACCACTACTTGCTACTTTTTGGACCTCACAGAAAATTCCTGAACCTTCCTGAACCTCATCTCTAAGGAGACAGTAACAAACTTCATTTCGCAGGGTTTTGGTGAGGCTGAAAAAAGAACACTTGCCCTTGTTTCTGGTTATAGCAGGTTCTCAGATGTTAGATCCACTCATGTCTCCCTGGGGAAGCACTTACTTGTAAGCGAGAGCTCTTGTACCTAATTTCTATTGGTTTTCTGACTCCAAACAACTGCAATTTTGTGTGATTGGTTTGCCCACAGTTTTCCACCTTTTATAGACTGGTTTCTATTTTATTTGCATTATAATAGTAGAAAAGGTCTATATCTTTCCACTATTTAAATTTATTTATCATGGAGAATTTCAAACATGTACAAAAGTAGTCAGAGTAATATAATAACCCTTTTTATCCATTATCCTACTCCCAAATCCATCAGTTCGTGGCCAATTCTGTTCTACTGTCAGAAACCGCTACCCTATGGCTTTAAAACTTCACCCCAAAATGCCACTTACAAACGATCACTTAAATGTATCAGTTAAGTAGATATTTAAAGGAATCAACATAAAAACATAGAGGCTATTTCTCCCCAACTTTTACACTCTGTAATGGTTTTTTGAGCCACAGGTGCTGGGGCAGTGGGAAGCATGGGTGGGAACAGAAGGTGTGCACACTTCATTAATCCGAGGCCCAACACTCCATTTAACAGCTGTATAACGTGAATAGAGGGGATGGCAAGATCTCCCCTGGCCACTAGACTGTTGCCAGGAGTAACAAGATGGTACAAGAGAAATACATGCAACATTTGGAAAGTCCAACATTGTTAATAATATAAAACAATAAGACAGCAATAGTAATGCACATTATAGATTATGCCAAACATTTTTGCATAATCTTTTATTATCTCAATGGATTTCAGATTAATATTACTCTTTCGGTCAAAAGTCAAAACATTACCTCGTATCCTTTCACACTGTCCCCCAGAGCTTCAATAATCCCCGAACACTCAAAACCTGGCACCAGGGGAGTCTTCGGAGGGTTGTCGATGTTCCCTTGTCGCACCATCAGGTCAATGAAGTTTAAACCACTGTGATCAGCAAATGTGAGAAGAGAGAAATTCAAAATGAGAACCCAAAGCAAGCACTGGTCTGGCTTTTCTTCTCTCTCTTTCCCTACCTCTCCCTTTCTCCTCCTGCCCGCCCCGCCCCATTCCTCTCTCCTTTCTTCCTTTCTGTTTTTTTTTTTTCTGTCTGGAAAAGTTTGCCTAATAGTAACATTGCTTAGCTCCCTGTCACCAATAAAGCAAAACTCAATTATCCCTACAGGCAGGTAATGCTTTCCTGGACATTGAAATGGCTGTTGCAGAGTTTACACTCTAATTCAAAAGACAGCCCCTTTGCCCTCTCTCAGAGCCTGCTTGCTCTTACTTTAAAGACACGTATTGACTAGCCTGGTCATTAGCCATTCTAGCACTTATAATCGTGGGGAGAAAATGCACTAGGAGGAAGTTGTGAGAAGACACATGGAAAGCAGCCAGACACAATGACCATCAGCCAACCTATGAGAAAGAGAGAAAAAGAAAATAGGCCTAATTCAAAAGGTCTCTAAACAACAGTCCCACGTCAACCATCACACGAACTTATGGCACTGCGCGATAAACCGCATCCATAATGGTGAATATGAGGCGCCAAGAGATGGCACTGTGTCCCGCTGGAGCGTGACGCGGAGAAGAGATCTCACAGGAGGGACCACAGGGAGGGGAGTACTGGGGGGCTTGTCTCAAATCATTAGATATCTCTAGATTAGAGAGGTCGGTATTTTCTATTAACATACTTTTAGAATAAGAACATTATCATTAAAATATGTCACATGATTCTAATGATGTTATCAGTGCTCCAAACGATATATATATTTAAGAGCCGCAATTGGGAATTGCATTTAATACCCATTTACTGATCAAATGAGAAAGCACATCCCACTAAACATGTTTTTTTTTTCCCCGCCAGATGTGGTTCTAATAGAGTTCCTGTTTTTATAAACCACCATCTAAGAAAGACTCAGGTTATAGAAACCACGCTCCTTCATCTGGTCCAAAGCCCATTAATACCTGACCACAGCATCGTTTCCAAGCAAGACAACTTGAACTATTTCTTAAATACGCCTTATCTGTTTCTTTCTTGGCCTCTTTGGGGCCAGGGAGGCATCTAACTCCACCTGCTCTCGACTCACCAGTTTCATCCATACGGCTTGGGAGTCAGTGAGGGGACAGCCTCCCTGAGAGTGTGTTCAGGAATCACCGTCTCCTCGGGGACTTCCTGTCCACAAACCAGGCAGGGTTCACATACTGTCCCACTGCAGGGGCTCCAACGTGGGCCCCCCTCGAAGGCAGCGGGGTGCTGTTTCTTTGCCTCCAGAGTGCCTGGCACAGGAACATAGAGGGAACCAAGTAACATCTGATGGATGAAGGGATATTCCTGAATATTCAAAAATCGATGCTGCCAATTTGCCTACTAACTCCTTTTCAAATGCGGCCAAGGGATACTCAGAAAAATGGACCCATTTCTGAAATGTGTGTGTAGGCTGCCAAAGACCCAACTTTGAAAGTTTATAGTCATTAGGATCATTTATTAATCAAGTGTTCTCTAACGAGCTTGGGCAGTTCTGGGCACAAGTCCAAGTTCTGTCACTTCTACCGGTGCAACCTCCGGTAAGTTACCTAGCCTCTTAAGACTCAACTTCCTCATCTGTAAAATGGACATTGTGATAGTACGTATCTCACAGGGGTTCAGGGAAATTAATGAGAGTTAAGCACTTAAATGTGGTGCCACATACAATAGTAAGTGCTCAATAAATATGAACGTTGAAATCTGCGACCTCTATTAAAAAGGCAGAAGTATGTAATACATTTTACGAAGACTCCATTAAACAAGAGTTAAAAACAGTTTCAGAGCTGAAGTGGAAAACTTCAGCTGTCTATAAGCTTCACTTCTGTGAAGTGGCCCATTTGCCAACATAACCAAATAAATAAATGTCAATAAAAGGAATTTCTATGTCCCCGATCACACTCTCCATCTCGGCTCACTGTGGGTTCGTTCTGTGCAAACCTGTGAGTCCCCAAGACCCTGATGGAGAAATGCCAGACAGTCCTGTAAACATGCCGGTCCCCGGGGAGGCACACCGTGGATGCTCATGACGCTGTTCTGCGGGCCTGCGTGACATGGTGGTGGGACACGGAGAGCCCGCTGCCCAGTTCGGTGAGAAGGACTAAGACCGACTTTATAAAGTCCTGTAGCACCCCATTTTCTCAGTGAGGTATGCAGTACCTCCATCAGGGTCACAGAGAATGCCATCCATCTTCAGGGGAAAAGTGGGAAGCAGCTGTATCCCGGGGGGAGCAGGGATCAAGTCAGTGTTGTTCATCTCAGCACAAGGGAGAGGTGAACGGTTCTTAACGGAGAGTCTGTAGGGGTCCTGCCAGACCTGCTTCTCGGTGCCTGCCCCCAGCTCCTCCTGACACCCATATAGCAAGCCTTACTGAGAGTGCAGTGCGTGGCAGGAACTGTGCTAAGTGCTTTACTTGGGTTATTTGAAACTCAACAAATACTGCTTTGAGGTATGGACTATCACACCTGTTATTCAGATGCAGAGCTTGAGACTCAGCAAGATTGAGTAACTTGCTTAGGGTCACGTCTTTAGAAACTGTCATAGTCAGGATTGGAGTTCAATCAAATTCTAGAACCCAAGCCATTACACACAACATAGACTTCCTTATGGGAACTTCGCCTACTGTCCTTGCTGAAGAGGTGGGCCCAAGGTGCCATGTGTAGAAATTATCTCTTTGACAGCTGACCACACCGGTGGTGGGCCCCATGTTGGAGGGGCAGCCATTCATAATCTAACCCATTCCCTTGCATGAAATAAAGGAGCTGGTCCAAGAACTGGGTGCTTGCTCACAAACTATGAATTGGCAAGTGCTTCCCAAACTTAGCATCAGAGAGGATGTCAAAAGACAGAACTGAGCTTAAAAGACTAGTTGGCCTATGTTTTGGAAAAGAAAGTGTAAGTGAAAAAGCCAGCAGGTGGGGGAATTACAAGAAAAGAAAATACCTGAAGAACAGTAGAGTCAACCAGCAGCCTGCACCAGGGTCAGGCCTCCCAAATTTCACTGCTGTTACTGGGACTGGGAAGGGCGGTCTCTGCACTGCTGAGGCTCAGCCTGGTGTGCCTCCTGCTCTCTGATTGCCAAGTTTTTGTTACTTGACACATCTTTACAATAGAAACTCTTTGTTTTGGGTTGTGTGTATGGTCTCTGCCTCATAAAACCGAAGGATACAAACTAAAACAAATACCATAATCAATAACCCTAATCTTACCCACTAGACTGACATTACTGACTTCATTGTGTCTTCAGACAAAACCAGTAACAGTGTTTAGAGATAAATTATTTGCCCAGAGCCACACAGACAGTGAATTCTGAAGCCATGGACTTAAACTCGGGTCCATCTAAAACTTTTCTTTTCTACCACAACAGGAAAAAATAGAGGCAGATCAAGCTATACATCTTCCTAATCATAGTTTCCAGCACTCTCTAAGACAATTCAGTTTTCACCTGGAAATTGGGGGTGGGGGGAAGTGACTCTGCCTGATGATTCAGACCACCAGAGTGGGTAATAGATAGTAAGATGTCTCTCTCAGCTAATTTTCATATGGCTCTCAAACATTTGAGGTCATTGCAAAAAAAATAGTACTGGAAAGTGCTTGACATAATGTTCTGTTAGGTAATCCTATTTTTGCAAACACTGGTATAACTGTACTAAGACTTCTATTTTTTTCTTCCCATATTGAATTATTAGTTGAGGGCTAGGGTTAAAAGGTTATTTATTACTGAGACATAGGCTCCTGAGGAATGAAGGCAGAGGTTTGAGGAAGGACCCTGAGCCACTCAGATCACAGGATAAAGGATGTGATAGAAGATGCAGGGAAATTTGGGGTTTGCATAGCGTAGTGCAGTTTACTGGGTGCTTTTAAACACATCTCATTAAACATTATAACAGTCCTAGAAAGACAAGAAGTGCAGCTATTGTTATTCCCATTAACTAGATGTGAACTTTCACACTCAGGTAAGAAAGCTGACTTGTAGGAGTCAACACAATTAGTATCTGGCAGAACTGGGGCTAGAATTAAGGCCTTTAAACTCCTTGCTCATTATATATCTCATGACATCATAACATCTCAGATGCCAGTAAACCAAATGTTAATGACATCAATATTTTCAAGATCCAGGGGCATCTTGAAGAGAAGAGGAAGTGGAGAAAGTAGACCAAAGCGGGGTGTCTGGGCCTCAGTTCCCACACAGCCATCCTGAGCTGTGGGGCCCGGGCCGGGTCTCTGAAGCCCTCTCAGCTCTCCTGCTCTGCTCACTTGATGATCTTCCTCCTGTGGGCTGTGCTTCAAATATTATCCAAGCCAACGCTTAGGTAGAGAGGAGCGATGCTTGGTGGTCTTCGTATAGACACTAACTTGGGATACTTATACTCTATCTAGATGCTAAAGGAAGGCAAGCTAGCTTGGCCTCTGTGTTTTCTGTTACCTGTTCAGTGATGGACACTGCCAAGTCTCAGGGTGGTGCCTGTCTTCCTTTCGTGTTCTGCTGGAGCCTGACTCTAGTGGAGTCGGTCTGCCAGTGTCAGCTGGAGTTGTTGTCTCCCTGGATGATGGTGCTACACGTTAGGTGTAAGGTATGAACCATTTTAATCTCTATTTTCTGCACGAGGAAGGTGAGGCCTAGAGAAGGTCCAGTACCTTGTGCAAGTAGGTACAGAACTGGCATACAAGCCCTTTTCATATGACCGCAAAGTCTGAATTTCTCATTGCTAAGCTGTCATTCTATTATCCATAGTAGGCTGCTGTGTATTCTCCCCAAGTTGTGATTTGGAATCTGTCCATTTCTTTTGGATCAGCTAGTCATATTAAAGAAAACACAAATGATTTCTTAAAATATACCATGAAGTAGATGGCAGAAGAATCAGCCCAGCTAGAGTTTATTCATTTTTCAGTTCGAGAGAAAACTGACCCACGTAGACATGG